TTATTGGAGCAGTCTTTTAGATGGAATTATTGTTTCCACAAATAATTAATGCCCTGATCACTTTTTGTGTGGAAAATTGAAATGGAGGACCAACTGCTTTCTAACAGAATGTAACATTTGAAAGGTTTGGAATCACAGCCTTTGCGATCATACTTTATAAGTGTGCGAGACGGTAATCATTAAGTCCTCAAATTGTGAAAACGGACGTTTATGCAGCTCTTCCCAAACTGCTTCATTAGGCCTAGTTTCTGTGTGAAGCGTTTACTTGAACTTGCCCATTAACTCCTTGTGTACGGTGACTAACACGGGATGGCTGCCTACGTAGTGGCAATTATGAGGCCAGTGAAAAGTCTAAAGTTCGAAGTGGTGGTCGTACGCACACACTGCATTCCCTCACTTCATTCTCCTCGAACCAAAGGACCGGTTTGCAGCTAAGCTGATGGGTTGCGAATCACGTGGAGGTCAGTTGGTGAGATAGATCCTCCGGATGTTTCATGGGCTGTGATCAATCTGTTGAAGGTCTTCCTATTTGCTTCCTCATGTCTAGGCTGCTTAAGTATAAAAATACATACAAATACGAAGCCTGTACAGAGGATGGAGCCATGTCCCGGAGTGTTTTCTTTTTAATTAATACAGCTTATCTGATGTAGTTATCTGCATGTGTTGAGAAGCTGGAAACTGAGTCTGATTCTGTTTCGCACAATTAAGCTCGCCGGCACTGATGAAATAACTTTTGTGATTACCAGCTAGTGGTAATTGAAAGTCGAATTTACGTCGTATCGTATAGACATCGGTCACTGGGTGAGCGTTGAGATTATGCAGTTCTCAAATCTCACACATAATTCGTTCTCTGTACTTTCGCTCATGTAATTTATGCTTCAGCTGCTCATCTTTTAAATCATTTTGTATGATAGCAATGCATCTACTTTAACTTGAGCATCTCAATACTGGTCCACCTCTGGATGACTTTGGCGAAAAAGGTTGTACCATTTAAAGACGTCTGCAATAACACAAAGCAGGTGGACCAAAATAATTACGAAGAGTTTCAAATTACATAATCATTTTGCTTGCGCTGAGTGAAATCTGGACTGACGATAACGAGTTGTGATGATACAGGGAATGCAGATGTAAGTCACAACCATCTCTAAAATAAACTGCATCAAAATACTAATGTGTAGACTGTTGCTATTTTGTGAGAATAGCAAAAAATGGGTGGCCAGAAGGAAGTTGGGAAGGCTATGAATTGGCAACTGGCTGAAAAGTGTCAAAGTGGCAACGTGGTGTAGTGAACAGTAGGACCTTTGGTTGTTTGCGCCAAAATGCAGGTCCTTGATATCCCCACCAATAGACAAACAATCCAGCTAAAAGGCATCGACATCTGACGTGTGAGATGCTCTTGACCTGGAACGCCTGACATTCCATGCTGATGTTGTCGTCACCAGGTTCAAGGGTCCGGTATCTCAAAGATTAGATTGTGGCAATTCCGGTATTTGCTTCTCCTTAACATGACAGTATAAGAGACTAGTTTTTGCGATCTCAGCTTAAAAACTACAAAATGCATGTATCCTAAATCAAAAACTTTTGTTTGTGTTGTGACTCACTGTCATGATTGACTTATACGCGATACACCATATGGACCAAATGTCATGGTGTATAACAAACGAGGGATCAGTGTGTGGAAAGAATCAGGTGATTTCTTTGAGATGGCTCATGCCGCAGTTTTTTAAGTATGAAATATGATAACACTAAATGTGGCGCTTCTAAACTTTACCTGTGCCACACGAAGTGCAAATTTGAATGCTGTGGTGTTCCACCCAACCTCCTCCTGTTGGCATTTGAATGGGTCAGTACTAAATGGTTGACCAGACGACTGGTGACTCAGTGCAACGACCAACTAATCCACCAATCAAACTCATTAGCTTTGTCTGGTGTTCCGCTGTTGACTGCCTTACCAATCAGTAAGTTGTCGATTCGCAGTGTGACTGCTTAACTGTACCAGTCGACGTGGGGAAACTTGCAGGTTTCTATTCTCTAAGACGTTTTTTCGCCAGAAATATCGACGTAACACTGAAGACATTTGCTTTTAGTCTCTCAGCCGACGTGAAAGAACATCGTTACTTCTGTGTATTTAGTACGCATTCTCTCAAGGTAGGGGTAGTGTGGTGATTTAAGTATGTATCGCGTAGACTAGAGGTGAATAATAAATAAAGCGGTCATTCATTAACCTTCTCGTCAATTTTTCTTAAAACAGTAAAATCATGTGAGAGAAACCCGATCTGAATTATTGCACGCTATTAGGTTCTTAAGTAAAATACTGTTCCATGTCTAGCAAACACAGAGCCTTCCGTTGTTGAGGAATAATACAAGGCTTGAATTGGATGCCAAATAGAAATCAAGCGTCATTTGAAGGTGGCAATTGGCAAATGAGATCGCATACACACAGACAACTGAGACCAACATTCCACCGCCTTTTGGAAGATGCCTGCACTACAGTGCTCAGAGCAGAGACCTCGCCGATTTGATCAGGCTTTGCCTACAGCTCTAGCTAATCTTCTCCAACAGGATCGGATTTTCGCCTTTGGATGATTATTCACTAAGTAGTTAAGGCCTTTGCACACAACTATGGAAATGGTTGACATATTCTCTCAGGCATCCATTGCAATCACGAATGGGGAGATCAGGACGCAGCTTTGGACATTTTTACACGTTCTGACATCATGCAATACGCATGTAGTAAGCCGAATGTCTAAGACTTCTAAGGTTGTTGAATTGAAAACGAGGACTTCTTAGTGTAGGCAGATGTAAGAATGCAACGCTTTCTTCCATGTAACCGATAACGCATTAATCCCCTTTGGCGGTTGAGTGGGCCGTTATTTACCTCATCTCAGTGCTTGAGAAATAAGTTAAAGGAGGTTCAACAAACCTAAGAACGATTAAAAGGAGAAAGAGGCAGATTTCTTATCAGTGAGGTTAATTTTTTCCCTAATCACTGAATAATTAGTTCCCATTCATAATCAAAAAAAGAAACAGAAGTACGTGAGGTCAACAATGATCACTCTGCTCTGTGCCAGAAGCATTTCGATTTAAGTAGAGGATTTTAAAATGGGTAGAAAGGTGATAAAAGTGAAAACCAATTTATGCTGCCATAGGTGTTGGCGTCTTAAGGAAAATCGAATGAAATCGAATTCCCATTTGTCATCTCTTTTCAGCTGTTAAATGGTGCTACTTTGATGAGATAAAAGGGATCAAGTAGATGCGTGAATTTGAACAAAAACGCAAACTGGATGACTCAGTTACCTGCAGCCATTGGGTAAGATATATCAAGTGCCTTGTGAGCGATACCAAGGAAATAGCTATTTTCATTTAAAGTTGAGCGCCAGAGCATAACAAAGCCTTTGAGGAGGTTAAATGCCACTTTTACGAGTCATCAATTTCGTAGTTGACTGAGTTAAACACTGATGCATAGTAATTCGATCCAGATATAGACACCGAGAGGGGGTGTTACACTTTCTTTATAGTACGAAAGCAAAGAGACATGGGAGATGTGTAGCTATCCGACTTGGCCATCCTGCGACCTCACAGCCGTGCAAGAACAGGGTTCCTCATTTGATTTTTGCTGAACTTTCCACTTTTAGGGACTGATTTTTGAACATTCTAGAAAGCCGTGCCCTCACTGTCGTCCTCATTCTCTTTGCCAATCTCACTCACTCATTCCATGTTGAATGCATTTGCATATGGATGTAATTTAAGTCCCCTGATTATCACTATGAGATCCAGGGTAAGGCCAGGCCATAGACCAGAACTTAGACTATGGCTAAAACGACGAAGTCGATGGCCACAACCAAGATCAAGTAAACGAAGACGATGCCTAAAACCACGATGAATACAACGAAGACCATAACTATAGTTACGACGAAGCTTAAGGAGATCATGATTATGACTAAGCCCAAGAAGACCAAAGCAGACTATGGCCGCTTAGGTACTAAAAACAGGCGAGACTGTAAAGAACTTAGAGTCTGTGCGTAGGCGGTGACTGTGTTGTCCTGCTTTCCTGTTTATTCACTCACCCATGTCGGCAAGTAAAGCCGTCTTTATAGGAGACTTGGTTTACTAATTGCGGTTTACTCGAGTTGGTTGGGAAATCAATTTAACTGGACCCAAGCCCACGAACATTAACACACGTTAAGCACACACACAGTCATCAGAAGGGAGGCGGTCAAAAAGAAAGAGCAAATAGGAAACGCACTGGCATATGAAAGCCTTGACTTGCCAAGTTTTCTTCCATGTTTGGAACTCAGGCCTATATCAAGCATAGACCAATAGCAGTTCATTTGCAAATGAGACATCTCATCTCTTTGGACGAGTGCTGACAACTATGTGCATAATTCCGTGGATACCTGTCTTGAAATTCATTCACAAGTTGATCGGAATCACTGTCTATGCAGTAGGAATTGTGGAAGACCTAAGGAGGATGTAGGGATGGACTGAGAAAAGTCTTAAGGGGTATGCAAAGTATTGAAAAACTGTTACAACAGAGGCGTAAGCTGGATGATGATGGGACCTACAGTAGCGTTTGTGCCATTCTCTCTTTAGAGTACCGAACGGGATGTACCAGCCCAAAGTAAAGGCAGGGATCTACGTGGTATGCAGGCGGTACAAGGTAGTGAGGAAATGCTGAGAAATTACAGAAATAAAGTGTGACCTTACCAACGATCTGCGTTGCGGCCTAAAATTACATAGACTCGTTTCTACAGAATGCCAGAAACTAATGTCCCCAACATAGGACGTGAATGAATCAGAGGTTTTTGCGTAGCAAAGGTATTCTGGGTATTCTGGAGCAGCATATTTCCGTTTTATCTCTTCTATGACAATGCGGGTAAGGTGATTTCAAGTGTTTTACAGGAGTCGTTGCCCCTTAATCTTTACTGGCCATAAATGTGAAATATGGCGTGAATGTCCTCGAAAAATTGGCATGTGTTATTAAAAGGATGCAAACGTCTAAACGAGGACTTAACTGAGGACGTCAGTCTTGTTATATCAATACACCTGCAGAAATAGTGCAGTACCTACGCCTGGATACTTTGACTTTCATCACCTAATGAACATTCTGGTGTGATTTGCTGAGAAGGTTTTTATGGGTGGTTAGTGAATTTATTCGAATAGGCCTATCTCCAGAGTGAAGCTGGTACTGCCAACTACCCTGTTAGGTAACTGACCCCATGAGATCAACAACTTCCAGAGCGGATTGGAAAAGTTCGTCAAAATGCAAAACGGCAGACTAGTGGTATAACGTAGGTGACAAGTGAATTCACTTTCATAAGAAAAATTCATGTTTTGATTAAACACAATCGCCTTACGTACCACTCCCAATAATTATCGAATTTTATGGTGGAAATTGTCACATTACAGTAGTGGGATTGTGAATTAATAAACATGCATATCATAATTCAGCACAGTGCAGTGCAGTAGAATAGTCGCTATTTTAGAAAATTAGATTGTTTCATCAAATTTTACACAGGTGGACGAGGTAGGATCTGTAACTACGCCACCACGCCCTCACGTTGCGCTTTTCATTTACGTGGGAGACTTCAAAACCTTGGCTGTGGTCTTCAATCAGTCATTTGACTTAAGGCATTAAAACATGCTTCAGAATATGCCTGTGTACTCTTTTATGACTGAAATTTGTGAGTCAATTAACCCTTGCAGCCTGACCTGCAGCTATTCAGTGCGGTGATTTTAATATCTGCTTTTATTCCGGTGTTAATTTGGGCAGAGGTAAAGGAGGGATTAGTGTGGATCAACGTTATGATAAAAGGCATCCAAGGCATTCAAAGGCATCTAGCCTATCTTGCCTCGTAGTGAAGACTTTGAATGTCAAACCCACAGCGTTATTGTGGCAAACGGTTACCTCCTTAGGACAAATTATGCCTTACTACTTATTCTTCTTCCCTGCTTTTTACTGCACCAAGAGTTTGGTATTCTAAAACAAACTGACTTCCTTTATTTACGTGATAAAATTCAACCACCAATGATTCTATAACTCCCAATTTTAATGATGTAATATTACATTTAACTGAGCGGTTAACTACGCGGACACCTAGGTCTTGGCAACTTGTACTTCCTCTTTGGGGCATAGCTCGGCGGCAAGGTCCATAGTCTCTGAGCCTATCTGCACGTTGATAACAAGTTTTTTTGCGCCAACGTGGCCCACTGCAATTTTAGAGAAGACCCATGGTGTTACGATTACTAAGGCCTAACAGAATTGCTCAAACGGTGGCCGTTTATTAAGGGTTTCCATAAATGATATTCATACCTAAGAATTTAAATAGTTCTAAGCCAAAACGAGGCGTTTGATAATGACTGGCAATAATACCGAATATCTATCCATCCTTAGTATTCATTCCAATCTCCAACTTTCCAGCCATCCATCTAGGTTTCATTTACACAGAAGAGTTGGAGAGGAGATAATTTTTGTTAATATTGCCATATAAGTGCCATGGACAGCTCTATAATGGACTTTGCTTTATTTTTAGGCCTGATTTTGCCTTTATTATCAGTGGCATTCGCTTAGAACAAATGACTGAGTAAGTGGCAAAGACAAGCTTCATTTTAGTCTATTTATGGGGAGTCTATGCATAGTCGACCACCCACAGTAGTCTCTCTCCTGTAACGTGCATTTTGGGTAATCAGCGAATCTTGTTCTAGATCGGGATTGCTTGCCTCTGCCACAAAACAGGGTTCTGAGTATGATGTGAGTAGCCCATTATGAAGGTAGTCCCAGGCAGTAGCCATCCGGGTGCTAGATGCTCATATCCATCCGCAATCTCTGGCTCTGGAGTGGTGAAAAGTAGTGCATATGAAACCGTTAGCATAAAATGCGAAATGAATTTGTCTTTGAAACAGAACCCAACACATCAGTAAAGCAATATTGGTTCGTCAGCTGCACTTCTTCATGTTTCTTGAGAACAGCTAACTGTGAGGTACTGGTTGGGATATTTTGTCGACGAAATTAGGAGATCGCGTGGTTAAAGCGCACTAAATATGAGGGGCAGTCGCGTTGAAAGTTGTAAAAAACATCTGTAAAGAGAAAATTACCTTAAAAATCACTGACTAAAAGAGTGGAAATAACAACTTCTTATTCTATTATAAAAAAACAATGATAATTTCAAAAATTATTATTATTTTTTACTGGCCAATAAATCATAAGGCAGTGTAAAAATGCGTATTTTAAAGGCAAACGGTTTTTTGCATTAGGTTAGGATCAAGAAAACAAAAACAATGAGTTAAAAGAAGATATTCTGTTTATTCGCACTACATTACTATTGTATTTTGCCGGGTTATATAAATGCATTCATGCATCTTGGTAAGCCAATCACTGGCGTGGGGAGCGTTCAATATCAAGCTTTTCTATTTCCGTTCCCATCATAGTCACCAAAACCACTCAAAATGAAAATATTTAACGGAAAGCGGTCTGCAAAACTATTCTGGATTACTTTGACCATAGCAAAACTTCTATTGCTCTGCGAATGGAATGTAGCTTTATCAACGAGTGCGTTTGTATACCTCATAACAGGTGGCTGGCGATACGCCCGTGCTGTCATTCTAACCCTCCCGCGTGACATTTTGTAGGTTTTTCCTTATATTGTTGTATTTTTTTGTAACTCTCAAATTTGCTCCACTGCTAACTATTAGGTTGTAATTAGTTGTGCAATCGGTTCTACAATTTCAGACGCACTACCATCAAAACTTGTTGCACCCTAGGTTTTTAGAGCGCTATTTACTCTGAACAGTCTGGTAATTACTAACTCTTAGTAGATTTTATCAATAGGTCCTAGCTACACCATTTGGTATCAACCCGTAGCTGGATCCAACTTTGTATTCTCTGTGCGTTATAGTGCATTGTCCACTCTTATCCGACTATACTTCATGCTGTGGATGACTGGATGGCGTAAGCATGGTATCAGAGACGTATTTGCTGGTCAAGTGAAACGCAAGGGGCGTAACACCATAGCTGTGCTGCATTTAGACAGCAAGTGGACCTACGGTGATTTGGATGACTACTCAAACCGTGTTGGCAATTATCTCCTTTCTAAAGGCTACAAACCACAAACCAATGTTGCACTCTTCATGGAAAATGAGCCAAAATACATTGCTATTTGGCTGGGTGCATCCAAGGTAGGTTTCTGTTCTCATACCTCTACTAACTTCCGCAGTGCAAGAGTTCCAAAAACCATCGTATTCTTCTGAAATTGCAGACGCTCCCTTCGATGGATCTATTAAGTCGTCACACCTTTTTTCGTCACTCTAGGTTGAGTTCTTCATGACGGTATCCTTAAAAGTCTTTGAAATGGTTATTTTTTAAAGAGTTGTAGTTCACCGTTCACGCGTTTGCTTAGCAATAAATCAGATTTCTAAAAAGTTTCTGGAAGCTGCAAAGTGTGTCACATTTTGACACTAGATTGTAGTCGTTTTGTTTCCTTTTAAAAGTAGTTCATTATACGTTCACCAATACAATTAAGGACTGTTTGTTCATGCATGTCGAATACAGACTTCCGGTGTATTCATCGTTTTTTTGCTTTATTAAGTCAACTGAATTGTCCTCTTATTCTACCTGCAGCCTTATCCAGGCGCAGTGCGGTGAGCTTACCGCTTCACGAGGAAATTCTCTTTGTTGGGTCTGCACGTGCTACCGTATTCTCACGATTTTTAGATCGTGCTTTCTTGTGTGTCTGCTACGTTTGGCACTTGTTTTGACCGATAGCGCATTTATGAACTTGTCGGTATTCATACCTTATGATAGATCAGATATGTATTTTACCTCGAGAAGTATGGGGGCTTAACATCGTTTATCAGCAGACAACTTCCCTCCTCAGGTTAGTCTGGCGACAGGTCTGATAAACTCCAACGTTCGTCGTGATGCCCTCGTGAGTTGCCTGATCCAACTTGATCCACAGGCCGTTTTCGTGGGAGCTAGTCTGGTTCCATGTATCGTCGAAGCCGGTATCATTCCTGAAGGCACACTTTTAGAGGGTCAGGACGTGATCATTTTCCCACCAGCCTCCAACTCAAAATCTCCTTGGGGCACTGATTTCACTGCCTCACAGGTCACCTATGTCAATCTTGGTGAGGTGCTAGATGCCAGCTCAGCGGCGCCTCCTCCCGTTGTCAAGGAACCAAAACTCACTGATGTCCTCATTTATGTCTTCACCAGTGGTACCTCTGGTTTACCTAAGGTTAACGATTTTTTTGAAAAAAATCACTCCGTCACTGGGGTTGGGCTTTTAATTCTCGGCTTCTCTTTACAGGCTGCGATTATCACGCTCTCGCGGTACTTGTTCATGTCCTCAGCCATTCACTACTTATGCCACATTTACAACGATGATGTATTCTACATTCCGCTGCCAATCTACCACACAGCTGGTGGCA